TTTGGTTTGAGTCAAAATATTAGTTCTTATCAACAAATGAATCTAGCCTTTTGCCAGTTATTTCATGAAATGGCTTAGTTACAGCAACTGAAGTGTACAAACTTAAAAAAAAAAAAAAAAAAGAATTGCTTCTTTTGGTGTTCCATAAAAAGTGACCTAAATAGTCAGATGTTATTGGATCATCTGATATTTGTTGATAGACTTGTGTTTGACAACAAATGGTTTTAAGAGAGATTTTATCATTTGAACCAATGACAAAGAAATGAAACGAGGAGATGTGGATACTATGAGTGCAAATGGCATCACATGTGTAAAATGGATGGACAATAGATCAGTGACACTTATCAAATTTCCTTACATGCAAAAAGGATGATATGACGCATGTGCTGAGAAGGCAGGCAGGATGTGCAGAAAGGCTGCATATTCCATGTGCAACCATTGTTACTATTTACAACAAGTACATGGGGGGGTGTGGACCTGGTGGATCAGAAGAAAGTGTCCTATGAGACACACCAGAAGTCAAAAATACGTTTTATTTGAGGATTTTCTTCTCCTAGATATTGCTGTAAACGAGTGTCACTGCATTTATATACAAGCAAATGAAGAGAGGCACCCAGAGTACAAAGCGATTACACCACTGGAATATCGGCAGATGATAGCAAGGAGTCCGGTGGGTGGATACTCCAACAGACAAAGAAAAGCGCCGTCAGCAGTTCACTAAGTGTCCTTCCAGCACCAAAGCCAAAACATTCCATGATTACAAGCGATACACGCAAACGATGTGCTCAATGTGCCAATCATGGGAATGAAAATCGCACGGACAGCCTCTACGACACATGTAACGTACACCTTTGTTACACAAAGACACGCAACTGCTTTGCTGACTATAATAGCCTGAACTGTTAGGCTATCACATAGCGATTTTTGCATTTTGAGACAGTACCTTGATGCATACGTTTTTGGTTTTGGCCTAACATGAGGCTGTTGGAATATGTACATAAATACATGTTATTGTTGAAATTGTTTCGAGCAAGTATCTGAATAAATGTCAAAATAGTTTAAGAGTAGCAGAATTTGACTCAATTTATTATGACCATCTTTAGAATTCATTGTAAAATAAATTTAAAGTTCCAGAAACAGACAATGCTTGCAACCTTGTCTCCCTTGAGGACCATAGGGACACATTTGTCCCGTGTCCTAATTCCTCCCCCAAAAATGACACAAGTGTTGAAATGGTTTTATTTATTGTTCAAATACATTCTTAAAGGGAAAAAAAATATAATTTTTATATTGATGACTGTAATCTTATGGTCCTCAAAGGGTTAAATCAGTGACTGTGACCGTATAAAATCTCTGCATACCGAGCCAATTCACACCAAACCTGTGACACGTAGGGTAGCCCATTCCCCTTCTAGACCTCCCTGGCAGCTATTGGCGTGTAGTCATGCTGCGCGATGATGTCCCATGGTGCGTCCGCATACGTAATGACGTCACATGCGGATTGCGGAAGTCATGCGGAAATGCTGAGAATATGGCAGATATCATATACCCCCTGTCTCGTCTTTCCTCCAAGTTATACATGTTAAGTTCCTTTAACCTTTCCTCGTATGTTTTATCCTGCAATCTATGAACCAGTTTAGTAGCCCTTCTCTGAACGCTCTCTAAAGTATCAATATCCTTCTGGAGATACGGTCTCCAGTACTGCGTACAATACTCCAAGTGAGGTCTCACCAGTGTTCGGTACAATGGCACTTCCCTCTTTCTACTGCTAATACCTCTACCTATATATCCAAGCATTCTGCTAGCAATTCCAGCTGCTCTATTACATTGTCTTCCTACCTTTAAGTCATCTGATAGAAACACAGAATAAAAACAGTTTGTCAATAACATGCCAATGAGGTAGACTCCTGGTTTCTATGAAATGTCTTAAAGTAACATCTCTTGGGCAACAACTGTCTAAGCAGACCTGATTTTAAAATTTCAGCAAGAAGTTGCAGAAATTAAATTTGAAAACCTTCAATTAAAATCCAAATTACTAAATCTGGATACCAGAAAATGTCAACTGTTAGAATCTTATCTAATGGAAATGTTCTCATCAAAATGTACATAACACTATATCATTCCATTGATTTGAAAAAAACAAAAGAAATTTCAGCTACAGAGAGGTAAAAGTAAGATAAGGAATAAACCACTCACTAAAGAAAAATATAAAAAATTCTACATCTTTATGGACATATCGACAGCAACCCTTTCGGCTTGGAAACGGTTTTACGAAATTACTACTATCCTAAGGCAAAAAACTCACAATACACTTTACCATTTCTCTGATATACGGCAAGCTAAGGAACAAAATGACAAATGGGGACTTATCGCGTATGCTCTCGCCTTCAGTATTTTTTTTGCCCCTTTGGACACTAAAGGAACAAGTTTTTTTTTTCTTGTTTGTTTTGTTGAGCCTCGGATTCTGGGGCATGCTTCCCCTATTTAATAGGGGGACTTACACCAAAAATTTGGGACCTGCGAGTAAGAAGAAATAGTAGAGAAAAGGGATTAAGAGAGGAAAAAGGGAAAAAAGGACCAAATATATAAAGGGGATACTGGTTTGATGGATGAAAGAAGCACTAAAAGATATGGTTTATACTCACATTTGTTACAACTGATTCCAAATAGAGTGGACAAACGATTATCTTCTACTGAGTCTGGATGTTACATCTCTCTATACCAGCATTCCTCACCATATAGGGAAAGATGCGGTAACATATTTTCTAGAACTATTTAATGAAGTGAGTCAAGATAAACAACAATTTATTCTAGATTGTATACATTTGCTTTAAAAACACAATTACTTTCTGTTTGAGAATCAATTTTATTTACAATCTACGGGGAACACTATGGGTACGAAGCTAGCACCATCCTATGCAAAACTAACAATGGGATGGTAGGAGAACAGATCTATTTGGAATAACAACCCCTTCCGTAATAACAGTCTTCTACAAAGTTTCATTGAGGGGAGGAAGACTTGTTGCAGTTTATCTCCCACACTAATGCAAATGACATGAACCTTAGATTTACATACGAGTCAAACTGTCACGTATTCATCCCCTTATAAAAAAAGTAATTAATGACATTTACTGTCCACACAGGAAAAGTTGTGCCGAGCAGCAACCAAATCCACAGAAGGGTTAATGCTGAGCAGCAATTATGCAAATGGGAACCTGGTAACTGACTTTGGGGTCAAAGGCCGGTTACAGCCTATCAGATCTAGAGGAGGAGTATTTAGGCCCAGTTCTCATCCTGCTCAGTGCCCTGTCGTGGTTTCCCTTGTGGTTGTCCGAGAGCGCGTTATTGATTCTGGTAATTCTGGTTATTTGACTTTGGCATTGTTTTTGACTTCCCTGTTTTCTGGCATCCCTGACTCCTGGCTTTTCCTTATCGTTGTGTCTCTTTCTGTGTCCCTTAACCTCGGCTATTCCTGACTATTCTTTGGTACGTCAGTCCGGCCATTCTAAGGTCCGGTATACGTTACCTATCAGTCCTCTGTGTTATACAATTCTACGTGCTGGATCATTCTGTAATCCTGACACAAACAAGCAGAATATCATCTGGATTTGAATATCTTTTTAGATGAAGAGGGATATATACAAACCAGTAATCACCGGAAATCGGTTGATAGAAATGGATTTCTATATGCGAAAAGTCCACACCATCCTGGATGGATTAAAACATCACCAAGAGCCAATATATGAGAATCAGAGGGAATAGTAGTAGAACAAAATAACCAAAAGAGGAATTACATCACCGTTCCTACAGGAGCACTATAATTATAGACATCTTCAAACAATACAAAACAAAGTAGTAAATATGGACCGAAATTATTTGATTCACGACATACGTCCAGAAAGTAAGATCAACAGTAATGTCAACAACAAGATCATAAATAAAAAAGCACCACCAGTTTTTGTTACCACTTATAACAATGGCTGCTGTAATAAAAAATATAGTCCTCAAACATGGGCTGATTATAGTTCAGGATTATCTTATGAAAATTGAAAGTGGAGAAAAACCAAGGATTGTGTTCAAACAGAACACAACCATTAAGCACATTCTGGCTCCAAGTACGATTCATAAGAATATTCTGCCTGAGGAAGTCCTTTGTGGATGAAACGCGTAGGATTGCTGTTATAAATTTTAATACCAGGAGGTCCCTGAGGAAGTCCTTTGTGGCCGAAACGCGTAGAACCTGGTACCATAAGATCTTATGCTTTTGTATTTATTTATTTTTAATTATTTTAATAAAGAAGACTTTTCTACTCTACTATGCTGAGTCCGACTCAGTCATCCTCGGAACAGCAGAAGACCTCCCCCACATCTACATCCTTCTAGTGAGTGATACTCCACATAGTGCATTTACACTTATTTAACAGTGTTACACTATTTGTTTTTTACTCATATTGTAGATCTGCAGCTGTATCCTTTTGTTTGCATACATATGGTATTTAAAGGGATTATTGCTGTGATATCCACGGAGGAAGCTGTCATCACTACCAATTGAGATAAGTGGTCTTTTTCACTTTCCTATTATATTTAGGTGTTAAGTGATTGTTTTTTTCTTGTATATATACTATTGTGTCCCAAAAATACCAACCCTGATACTATTAAAGGGGATTTGCAAATGTGGTAGGAAAGCATGTATTACCTGCCCTTGCATTCCAGGAAAGAACAAACATTATAAACATTTTTCATTAAATCACAATTCAAACAAAACATATGTAGTGTGTATTTTGGAATGTCCATGTAGCAGACAGTATGTTGGCCACACATGCAGAAAAATTGTGAATAGGCAAACACCTAAGGGCTATTAAGAAAAAAAAAGTATGAACCATGTGGTACCTATTCACTTTTCCAAGACACATCAGGCTGACCCTACTGGTCTAATAGTAAGAGGAATTGACACCATACAATATACTATAAGAGGCGGTGATAGATTACAAACTCAGATAGTTTATATATGATACCAGTACCTCCTTTTATAATTTTTTATAAGCTTTTAAAATTTGAATTTGATGTTATAGTGTGTATACGATTTTGTGTTTGTACCAAATTTCTTCTTTTTTCGCCTAGACACGAGGAAAAGCTTCCTGAAGAAGTGATTGTATACCCACGAAACATGGAGCAGAACAATCACCGACTTGTTCCCTTACTGTTCCAAGTAAACTCTGAAGCACTGCATACAGCAAGCACGCAGCCCTGCAACACCCGAAGCAGTTTTTACGGGTTTGTATACCGAACACCATTTCATGTGCTGCTATGCAGATCAAACGAGTGCCTTTTTAACACTAATCACCTACTGCAGATGCATTTATCTTTTTTATATTTTTTTTCTCTCTAATGTTTTTAAAGACTTTTCTTCTGTGTATAAAGTTTTAATACTTAATAAATTAGCAATATGGCACCATAGAAGCCTTGTCTCTGCGCTTTTTCGGCTTCTGGACTACATTGTTACATAAGGGAATAAAAGGACATTGCCTCTACTAAGCTGCAATTAGACTATCTGGCTATTTGAAGATGAGCTCTGACAAATCTGACCTGCTGAACTTAGGTCTCAAACTGAAGCAAACAAAAAATTGATTAGTTTGAGAACCAAATACCAAATAAAAAAAAGATCAATTCTATAATGGAAGAAGGAATTATCAATATTAAACCGAAATTACAAGATCTTGAAGACAGATCCAGAAGATGCAACTTAAGAATAAGAGGTATACCACAATCTATATTGGAACATTCAACTAAAATTTACTAAAAAATGGGACAAAAGATTCAGTCTACATCTCGACTGAAGTGTTTCCTGATATATCATATCAAACCAGAAAGAATATATTCGAAGCTTGGACTTGTCACCAGTGGGCTACCTCAGGGATCTGTACTTGGACCCATTCTCTTTAATATTTTTATTAGTGATATTGCAGAAGGTCTTGATGGTAAGGTATGTCTTTTTGCTGATGATACTAAGATATGTAACAGGGTTGATGTTCCAGGAGGGATAAGCCAAATGACAAATGATTTAGGTAAACTAGAAAAATGGTCAGAATTGTGGCAACTGACATTTAATGTGGATAAGTGCAAGATAATGCATCTTGGACGTAAAAACCCAAGGGCAGAGTACAGAATATTTGATAGAGTCCTAACCTCAACATATGATTTAGGGGTGATTATTTCTGATGACTTAAATGTAGGTGATATGGCTTAATGAGCACCTTTCCCCTTATATCCTGTGTCACACTACACAGTAGATTTAGTAATGTCAGGATGCTCTATTATAACAGCTGGCCTTTGATCCTGATTTGTATCTTCTTCTTGTTTCCCCCCCTGCACTGCATATCCTGATAACACCTTGTTGGGAAGTGTTTGTGTAATCGAGTAACACCTTTTGACCAGCTAATGCCAAATGTGCTTTAAGTTCTTTGAATATGCAATTGACAGGACATGACTGTATTATGTGAAGACAACCCCTTTTTGGATGTGTATAGAATTTTGTTATAAGATCTGTGTTCTCCACATTAAAATTAGGTGTAGTATTCTACCATACATTTGTGTGAATGAGTACTGCCCTCCGAGCTCGTATTTCTGCTGTGTCCATTCCTTGTCTTCATACCTGAGAGAAAACATTGCTGTCTGCTGAATTTAAACCACAACAATATGGTGTCAGAAGTGGAAAGAGAATCCAAATCGGGTAAGAACATTTTGTGTTTTATTTTTGTGTTCTTTGCCCTGTTTGGATTCTCTGAACAAAATTTTGTGGTCGCAGAAAAGTAATGTTTTCTTGTTTTTGTTTTGCCTTTCTTTTTGTTTTTGTTATAAGTTTGGGTTAGAGTCCCATGATAAGTATGGGTTATTGTCCCATGATAAGGTTGGGTTAGAGTCCCATATTAAGTTTGGGTTAGAGTCCCATGTTAAGTTTGGGTTAGAGTCCCATGTTAAGTTTGGGTTAGAGTCCCATATTAAGTTTGGGTTAGAGTCCCATGTTAAGTTTGGGTTAGAGTCCCATGTTAAGTTTGGGTTAGAGTCCCATGTTAAGTTTGGGTTAGAGTCCCATGTTAAGTTTGGGTTAGAGTCCCATGTTAAGTTTGGGTTAGAGTCCCATGTTAAGTTTGGGTTAGAGTCCCATGTTAAGTTTGGGTTAGAGTCCCATGTTAAGTTTGGGTTAGAGTCCCATGTTAAGTTTGGGTTAGAGTCCCATGATAAGTTTGGGTTAGAGTCCCATGTTAAGTTTGTGTTAGAGTCCCATGTTAAGTTTGGGTTAGAGTCCCATATTAAGTTTGGGTTAGAGTCCCATGTTAAGTTTGGGTTAGAGTCCCATGTTAAGTTGTATAAGAGAAACATCAATATTTTATGGGTTAGAGTCCCATCTTACCGGTAAGTTGTATATAGTGGGTATAGCAGTCCCACTGAGTGACCACATTTAGTCAATGTATTGAGTGCACAGTTTGGACACAGTAGAATAAATCTTATTTTTGTTTATTGCAGCGCTGCATGTATAGTTGTATTGTTTAAAAAAAGTGTGCATTGCTTATATATAAAGTGTTATATATTGTAAAGTGTTATCTGTGTGAAGTTGGAAATGGGCTCCAGTAATGGTAAAAAAAAAATTCCCAACAAAATTCTGTAAAATTTAAATAATCTAAAGATGTCCCTAATAGTGCTGCGTCACGTACTCCCCAAGTCAAGTCTCAGGGTCCTCGATTAGGCCAAACTCCATGCCATTTTGTTCAAGAAACTATTGGAAATTACTATGCTGAGCCATTTTGTACAAATTTAGTTGCATGGTCAGATAATTTTGATACAATGATTTGTAATCCATGGCCAAGAGAGGGTTCTTTTAGTGATTTTCATTTGCAAATTCTGCAAGGTATGTGTATTAAAAGTTTTAAAAAGTGGGGTCCAGGTGGAGATCCAAAATGGGATAAAAAGTATATGCATAATGCAGCTACAGGATGGTTAAAGTGTGCTCAGTTATGGTTTGTTCCTGATCAGACTACAAAGTATGTTCAGGCCTCTGCAGCACCTCCTGCTTATGTGCTTTTGTTGTATCATTATATCCCAGTTTGGATGAATTAAAAAAAAAATGATTTTTCGGAATATTGATACTGATGAAAATTTTATGGCGATTGGTAGAGGGAAAAGGCATGTTGGATAGATGGTTGTGAATCCTTCTGCAATGGTGAGATCCACTGCAGAAAATGTTGATGTTGGTATGAAAAAATGAGAAAGTGACTAGAAAGTCTGTGGATGTTGGTGCAGGGAATAAGCATGTTGATAGTGTTTTAGTGGTGGATGAGGGTTATAAGAGTCATGGTGTACTAGTTCCCAGTCATGTGTCTGCTTCTGCCTATCCTTTTGTAGTTGCTGGTGAGACTGTTATAATTAAGCCTCCCTATGGATCACATTTGGTGTCTCTTAGGACTCAGTGTCCTGATCCGTTTAAGCTTCCAGAAGGCGCTATTAATTATTTTAAAAGAGTAACAATGGATCAACAGTTTGGAGGGGCAGATTTTTGTTTTTTTTATTGTCTGTTGTTTTTAAATATGCTGAAATTTCACCAACAGAAATGGCTCTTAATTTGGACACTAAACATGATAGACCTGGTACTGATGTAGGTTGGTTCTGTGTATTTTGGGCTGAGCAAGATTTTGTGCCAGAGTTTTGAAATCAGTTATTGGTTTATTTTCCTTTGTGGTTTTGCAGTTGTACAAATACCTAATAGTGTAATAGCTGTCTCAGCGCAGGCGGAGTTGATTGCTCTTACACAAGCTTGTATTGCTTTTAAAGATCAAGATGTGACTATTTATACTGATTTGAGATATGCCTTTGGAGTGGTTCATGATTTTGGTGTCATTTGGCAGGCTAGAGGCTTTGTTGCAGCTGATGGTCGAACTGTTTCTCATTTTGCATTAATTGATGGATTATTGAGGGCCATACTGTTACCTAGATCTTTAGCTATTGTGAAGTGCAAGGGCCATGATACAGATCACTCCATGGTCAGAGATGGTAATGATTTTGCAGATTTGGTGGCGAAAAGGGCAGCTGCCTCTTTTCCTTTATGGGCAGATTACAGTACTGTTTCTTTTGACCAGGTCTTAACTGCATATAGCTTCTCATACTGATGATACTGATATTCTTTCTATGCAGGCTGCATCATCTTCGGATGACTTAGCTTACTAGAGTATACATTCTGTTACACCTGATGCAAATTCTGGTATCCTCAAGGTCGCATAGCAATCCCTCAAGCTTCTTCTGTGTTACTCGTCCGACAGTTCCATGGCTATGGACATGTCAGACGAAGAGGGGTATTGGCTATTCTAAAAGAACGATTTGTAATTAACAGGTTAGATCAGACAGTTACCAATATTTTATCCAGGTGCTTAACATGTGCAAGAGTTAATACTACCAAACCACAGTTTGGTAAACATGACCACCTTCCTGCAAATGTTAAATTTACAAACTGACTTCATGCATATGACAACGGCAAAAGGTGGACTCAATTATTTACTTGTATTGTAGACATGTTTTGGTTGTCCATTTATGATTAATAGTGATAAAGAAACTTCGTTCACTTCAGCAGTTACACAGCAGGTTTGTAAAATGTTGAGTATAGATTGGAAATTTCATATACCCTATCACCCTCAGTCATCAGGGCAAGTAGAAAAGATGAATAGAACGATCAAGGAGAAACTGACAAAAGGAGACTTGGGTAGCACACGCAATTGGCCAGACAATTTGCCAGCAGTTTTAGCTGAGATCAGAATGACCTCTAGTTCCACTACGGGTTATTCACCATTCAAAATTTTAATGGGGAGACTTTTTCCAACTACATGATGTAAGTCCAAAGGTGCTTCGATGGTGTGCGGAGACCTAAATGTTGTGTTATATGTATTGAACCTTGTAGACACATTGAATGGCATCTATGGTGATTTGTCTCTATCTATTCCTCATCCTTCAGGTACAACCACATATCCTTTCAGGTCTGGAGACAAAGTCTTGGTGAAATCCCTCTTCAAATCCGGAACCTTTGATCCACCATACAGACCTCTGACAACCGTTGTTGCCATCACCAGAAGAGTCGTTCTGACCGAGGAGAACCAGATATGGAATCATGCAAGCAGATTAAAAAGATGTCCCATCAAGCACTCTGGATATTCCAAGCAAAGAAGATCAACCTCAGACTGATCCAGAATGAACAATAGTGCTCGGTGCACCCTAATTATTCTTTTTTCCATGGGACTTGGTTATGCACTGATTAATATTATTTGATCCCAAAGAACAGTGATAGTAAAATATGTTATTAATATATTTCACTCTAAGCAGGCTTTATCTTCTACATCATGGGAAACAGACAATCATTTTATTGGATCTGTAAAGAATTTATACCAAGCCCTAAATTTAAATAATTGTTTAATAAACCTTAATTCGTCCAGGAGGGAGGGACGGTCTTATTATAGCCATGGCTCCCCGGAGATTTTCTTCAGAAATAACGGTTCTGAAGTTTTTTTTCTTCCCTGAGTGCTATAATAGAAAATTCATTAATTTACTGATATGTTATTCTTTCAGAATAAAAGATTGGAATGATATGGCTTAATGAGCACCTTTCCCCTTATATCCTGTGTCACACTACACAGTAGATTTAGTAATGTCAGGATGCTCTATTATAACAGCTGGCCTTTGATCCTGATTTGTATCTTCTTCTTGTTTCCCCCCCTGCACTGCATATCCTGATAACACCTTGTTGGGAAGTGTTTGTGTAATCTAGTAACACCTTTTGACCAGCTAATGCCAAATGTGCTTTAAGTTCTTTGAATATGCAATTGACAGGACATGACTGTATTATGTGAAGACAACCCCTTTTTGGATGTGTATAGAATTTTGTTATAAGATCTGTGTTCTCCACATTAAAATTAGGTGTAGTATTCTGCCATACATTTGTGTGAATGAGTACTGCCCTCCGAGCTCGTATTTCTGCTGTGTCCATTCCTTGTCTTCATACCTGAGAGAAAACATTGCTGTCTGCTGAATTTAAACCACAACAGTAGGCAGACAATGTAATAGAGCAGCAGGAAATGCTAGCAGAATGCTTGGTTGTATAGGGAGAGGTATTAGCAGTAGAAAGAGGGAAGTGCTCATGCCATTGTACAGAACACTGGTGAGACCTCACTTGGAGTATTGTACACAGTACTGGAGACCGTATCTTCAGAAGGATATTGATACCTTAGAGAGGGTTCAGAGAAGGGCTACTAAACTGGTTCATGGATTGCGGGATAAAACTTACCAGGAAAGGTTAAAGGATCTTAACATGTATAGCTTGGAGGAAAGACGAGACAGGGGGGATATGATAGAAACATTTAAATATATAAAGGGAATCAACACAGTAAAGGAGGAGACTATATTTAAAAGAAGAAAAACTACCACAACAAGAGGACATAGTCTTAAATTAGAGGGACAAAGGTTTAAAAATAATATCAGGAAGTATTACTTTACTGAGAGGGTAGTGGATGCATGGAATAGCCTTCCAGCTGAAGTGGTAGAGGTTAACACAGTAAAGGAGTTTAAGCATGCGTGGGATAGGCATAAGGCTATCCTAACTATAAGATAAGGTTAGGGACTAATGAAAGTATTTAGAAAATTGGGCAGACTAGATGGGCCGAATGGTTCTTATCTGCCATCACATTCTATGTTTCTAAAGCAAAGGAGAGAATTATTATCTTTTACAAAAATATTGAGAGATAATGGCATTGAATACACTTGGGGGTTTCCTACAAGATTACATTGTACAGTAGATGACAAGAGAAAATGTTGACACCACTGAAATTGAAGCAATGGATTCAAGAATGTCATTTGACTTGGGGAATCAAAGGAATCACAGTTATAGTTATGACGCCTTTTTTTTTTTCTTTACTCCTTACTTTAGTTAAAGAAGAGAATCAATCTTGTAAAACATTTTTTACGATTAATTTTTTGGCACTTATGACACAAATTATAACTAGGACATGATTATCTTTTGGGTTTGCTAATTGTACATCTTCTATAAATAGTTAAATTCTTGAATAGTTCAAATGGAGGGTTAAGGAAAATGGGGATAGGTAAACACTAAGCTTAATATTTTCCAATAGGAGTTAGAAATGGAGGGGCGTGGCTTGGACACCGAGGAAGCACAAATCCTTGCCTAATTCTGCACTTTAACCTGACATCATGGGAAAAACCCACAGGACATCACAGGCATCCCAGCCCTCCAGTACCCCCAAGGGGGTTTAACACTCCGCCATGCGCCAATTCCTCATACCGCCGGCAGAATTGACCGCGCAGGCCTCAAACGACTCGGAGGCCTCGGGCTTTTCCCGGCCACCCTCACCACGCGGCGACCCACATGGCCAGCAACCACAGCCAGAATGGCTCGAGCTGATGAGGAACCTGCCGACCAGAGCTGACTTGAGGGAGGCTAATGCCGCCTTCCATAAATCCCTTACCGAGGAAATACGCACTCTAAGGGAAGATATCCAGGGCGCCCAGCAAAAAGTAGCGCAACTAGAAGCCGACTGCGACCACATGGCGTCGGCGCAGGCCGCAAACACGAACACAATACAGCAACACACGGCTCAACTCCGCCAGATGGCGCAACACATGGAAGATCTTGACAACCGCAGACGGAGGCAGAACATATGGATAAGGGGCAAGCCGGAGGAGCTCGACCAAACAACACCCGCTGAGGGAAACTCTCGCTGAGCTGTTTAACAATCTCCTCGAAAGGCCTACAACCACCCACATTGAATTTGTTAGGGCACATAGGGCCCTTAGGCCAAAGGGGCCACCAGACACCCCTCCAAGAGACGTCATTTGTTGCATGGCCCACTTCCAAACCAAGGAAAACATCCTACGCAGAGCAAGGGACACCAAACAGGTGCTAATTAATGGAGTTGAGGTACAGCTATACCCGGACTTGTCACCAGCAACGCTAGCCTACCGAAGAGCAATGCGCCCCCTCACGCGGGCTCTGCAGGCCAATAAAGTCCGGTACAGATGGAACTTTCCCACGGGACTGCAAGCCACCACGGGCACTGGACCCTTCACAGTAAAAAGCAAAGAGGACATGGAGGATCTCTTGAGAGAGTTGCACCTTGCGCCAATACAGATGACCTGGCCTGACCCGATGACCTTCTATACCTTTCTGCAGGGGCCGAACCCTCAAGCCCCCATGCAACAACGACCAAGGAGAACCCGACAACAAGCCACAAGGCCGTCGGGAACGACCCGGTAAAAGAATCAAGCGGATGCCGCCCGGACACCGACATCCTGAAGGAACCCGCCCGGAGAAGAACAACCTACCCTCCTATCAACGAGACTTTCAGAGACATTGACTACTATAACCCACACAAGAAACCACGAGACACTGCCCAAATCAAGGACACACCGTAATTTCCCCCTGCCGAAACATGCCTACGCACTGGCTTTGGGACCAGGTGGACCCTCCTCAGCACCGAAAGCCTAGAGACGCTTAACACAGACATTGGAATTAAAAACACTGTTTAATCGCAAGTACAACGGGGGGGTGTGGGGGGAGACGACTCAGCTCTCCGGTTGTGTCCGGCCGCCGACACCCACCCAGCCTGCGATGACCACTGGCGAGCAGACGGGGGGAGAGGGGGGAGCGGGCGGGGCACACCTGGGGAGCGGGGCCCGGTGAGGAATCCAAGAGAGGGGGGAAAGCGCAAGATCAGAAACACTAAAGAATAGGCTCCTTACAGGATAGTGAGGAAGCAGCTCTGCAGAGGGCCACAACGAGACAGGAGGGGCAGCAACAGGGGGACCCGAAGAGCCAAACACACCCTCCATTTGGACAAAGCTGGCATGACAGGAGGGCACACACACAACCGCCAACACATGAGGACTGTAACCGCCCACTGCACACTCCACACCGACATACACGACGGGGGCGATCACTAACACTGAGTCGGAGTAACGGGTGGCATAAGGGGGAACCAGGACAACACCCAAGACAGCAAGTTTGTACAAACTTTTTTCTGACCTAAATAGCCGCAATGCAGGATTTTGCTCAGTTACAGTTAATGGTTTAATAGACAGGTTGCTTAACGCACAAAGAAATGCAGTTTTATTGATGTTCCTAATGTTTAAACGTATGTATTACTGTCTTATTCCCATTCAGGCCCCGTGGCCTAAACAACCAGAGGCGAGGATCACAATAAACATACATATACAGCAATCGCATTGGAGCCGTAGGGGAACGACACGGGTCCGTGACGGTTACCGTTAACTAAGGCGAGTACCGACAGCAGCGGACCGGACACGGACGGGGGCCGCAAGGTATCCTTCCACTACCCCACAGGACAGGGCGTCGATAACAAGGTGAGCAAGCCACACGGACCACTGGTGGTGCCGTGCGCTGTAGCTCCCCGACGCCTATACCCAACCACCACCTCGCGGTGACGAGACCCCAACTCCCACTACCCATACAACACCCATCCCTCCCCCACGCTCCCGCCCTTATTACCCAAATCTCCCTCCTCCCCCCCTTTTTTCTTCTTTTTCTCCCATTCCTTTTCTCTTGCCCTCCTCTAACAGACAGGGAGAACCGCTTGAGACAATACCTCACCCGCCCCAGCTAACCCGCCGTGGCACTGACACCTGCCCAACTCACTGTCATGACCATCAACGCCAGGGGACTGAACAAGCCAGAGAAAAGATCTGGGACCCTCAGAGA